GGACTATCAAAGGCTTGGACCATTTTCTATTTCTACACAAATCAATCTAGTTGTATATTGTTTACATCTACTAGAGTCAATAAAAATCCATCATGTATTCCACGTGTCTTTTCTTGAATCATACAAGATAGTGGAGATACCAAAAAGAAGACAAGCTCTACCTCCTCCTATAGAAGTGGACAATAATGAAGAGTTTGAAGTGGAAGAAGTCTTAGATTCAAGGTAGCGCCAAAATAAATTGGAATATCTTGTCCATTGGTACAGATATGATATTAGTGAATGCACATGGAAGCCAATAAAGAATCTTGCAAATGCAGCAAAGGTAATGGAGGCTTTTCATCAACGACTTCTATGAAAATCAAGATGAAAACCTTCCTTATAAAAGAAACAAGATTTAGACAAGATAATATTTTACTTTCAATCCTTATTTGTAGCTTCTTTGTAGTTGTGACACTCAAGAAATGAAAAATCAACAACTAACAGATTCGACTCAAGAACCTTCGTTTGCTGATCTGCCAGATGAGATATTACGATTGTTACAACCTTCAAGATGATACAATCGAGATGAAGATCTTTAAGAACGACATGTTCTTCCTTAAATAGATGGGGAGATACAATGCATTTGGTATCATGACCTTGGAAGGGACTTCCGATGTTTGGTGATTTTACTAGAGGTAGGAACAACTCCTGATGGTGTTTCAAATGTTTTATTTGAAGGAAGTTATGAAGGTCTCAACAATGATCAAATAATTGGGTGGTCTTCCCGCCCTAGTATGGGATACTACCGGTGGTTGAGAAGCCTTATCAATCATCTTCGAAGAGAACAAAGATCAGAGTATGTCGTGAAAACAATTTGTCACATCATAGATTTCCTCAACATATGATTACCGCTCTTCATGGAACTCGTCCCTAGAAAAGAGAGTAATGTCACGAATTTATGCATGTAAGCCAATAATTACATGTATAAATAGGTAGAAGTAAGTAAAAGTTGATAAAAGTAAGCTAATTCTATAGTATTTGATATGGAAGCTTCCTAAAAGCTTTATAGACGTTGTTTTGACTTTATAGGTGTCTTTAATTGATTTTTTGGAATTAGAAACGTGGTCAACAAGTTGGCCATGTGCCACACATATTGTTAGCTTGAATAGCAAGCTAACTATGTGGCCCATACATAGAAAAACTTGCCTTGTAAATCAAGGCATATATCCTACAAAGTCAACACATATTGAAGGTCCTATAGAATGTCACCACGTAGCCCCTAGTTAGATACTATATATAGAGACAAGAGTGAAGCCTTCTTTACTATTGTCAACTTTTTTCTTGCTTCCAGTCTAGTTTCAAGGGTCTCTAATTTTCTTGGCTTTTGGCAATAGCCATTCCAATTTCTTTCTTAATATATATATATGAAGTTATTTCTATTTTTTCATCTTTCTATGAGAGAAGTCTCACTTGTTTATTTGTCTTTATCATGTTCTTGTCCTTGAAAGCTTTCTATTGATTCTAGTTTCATTGCCATAGTTATTGGTCTTAGTGTCAAATTCTTGTTTTGTTAGTTTGGATTGTTTAGACTATATTAATATTAGCTTTTATAATTTAAATAATAATAATTACATTTTGGACATGTCATTTCAAGTTAGCTTAGAATTTTTTGACAGCATCTATTTTTTTAAATATGATATCTATCACATCTATAATTTCTAAAAATATGGTTGCTTACATATAAATGATGCCTCATTAGATCTCTGTTAATAGTACTTAAGTAAACCAAATATATAACAAAATATCATAAGATCTAATATTTAATTTATTTTCTAGTTTTTTGAACTAATTATGCAACTAATCCACTGATTCTTTTGGTTTTTGTTTCAAATTTTGGATAATAGTAATAAATTTTTATTTGATTTTATACTTCCAAAATTTCTTAAAATTTTTTTTTTCACACTTCTTTCAAGAAGAAAAAAAAAGATATATTTGCTTAAAAGCAATATATCAATTAATAATATCATCTATCAAACTAGTCTAAAGTAGTTATTTTTTTTGTTTTAGATTTGTAATTCTGTAAGATTTTAAGATAACTTTAAATTGGTTAATATATTAATCTAGATCATCTCCCCTTAGAAACAAAAGATATGGAAGTTTGAGTGGTTTTATTATAATTATAATAGTTTCTAAGCCATAACCTTTATTAAGAGTATTTTAGACTACTAGTAAATTAAATCTTCGTAATTGTAGATTTGTATTACTTGGAATTTGAACTTTGAATGAAATCTATTTTATTAAGTTTTTTTTTGGAATAGCAGATCTATATAGTTGCAAAGCTTCTTACAATAATCAAATAATAGAATGGTCTTTCTGTCCTAATATATCATGTTATTGATGGTTGAAAGGACCTATCAATTATCCTTTACAAGAATAAATATCACAATATGTGACAAATATGATTTACCATATCTTAGATTTTTTTAACATATAATTATTACTCTTCATAGAACTTCTCTCTAAAAGAAAGAAATAATGTACCAAACATACATATTTATTTATATTAGAAGAATCAAGTATAAGTAAATAAGAGTAAGTAAATTTAATAATATTTTATAAAAAAACTTTTTAGAAGCTTTATAGATGTAGATTTAATTTTATATGTATTTGTAGGCGATTGATAAGTTAAAAACTTAGCCAAGAAATTAGCCACTTGTTGTATATGTTTACTATTCATGATATAAGTTGGCCATGTGATACATATATAAAAAACTTATCTTATAAATTAAACACATGCCTTATAAGTAGTATATATGTTGAAGGTTATATAGAATATTGTCAAATAGATAGTATATTAGAAATAATAGTGAGATCTTCTTCACTCTCATCAATTCTTTTGTTGTATCTAGTTTAGTTTAAAAAATCTTTAATTTTTTAATCTTTGGCATTAGCCATTCCAATTTATTTTTTTTAAATATATACTTTCTTATTTTCTTTTTGTCATCTCTCTTTGATACACAACCTACTTGTTCATTTACATTCATTACATTCTTTTCTTTGATAATTTATTATTAAATTACAATCATAAATTATGTATTAAAAAAACTCATGTATTAATTTAAAGAATATTTTGCTACTCATAAGGTGCTAGAAAAAAACTCAAATAATGCTAAGACTAAAATTATCAATTTTTTCAATGAATCAATTATATAAGGTTTTTTTTTTTTTTTTTTTTTTTTTTTTGAATAGCACATTATGTTGAAGATTACCCTTTTCAAATCTTAGACTACCAAGATAAAGAATGTACACCAAAAAACATTTTACTTATCTCATTCTTCATTTCAATAAATATTTACCACAAATATTCATTTTCTTTGATTCCAAATGTGGATATAATTTATCATTAGTCCATAAATAATCCCTATTACCAAAACTTTACTTTTAACTGGAATCTCAACATGAAGAATATCAACACGTGGCCACCAAAAATGCTTTCAAAGAAAAAGAGAAGATATCTTCGAAGTTAATATTTGTGCTTGACAGCACAAGCATTCGCCAGGAGAATAGAACGGCGTTTGACCACGCAAGGGTACAAACAATTGGGGGAGCAATGGTGGCATTGTGGCGTTGTGGGCCTCAGTCAGAAATGTCAAATGGCCACCCAAGAGTCTCTACTACTTTTGTTTTTGTTTTTGTTTCTGTTTTTTGTGTTGTTTGTTTCCGCTGTGGGATGATGCTCGGACATCACTAAGCCTTTGTCTTGGCTTGGCTTGGCTGAGGACACAATCTCTCACACACACACACACAATGAAATGAAATGAGGGAGGGAGAGAGAGGAAGGTAGACAGGGACAATGAATATTTAGGGCTCGAATATCTGGCCGGCTACGGAAGCAGGTGATGAGGCGGGTCAAACCCACTGTAAGACTTCATCCTTCATATTCTCTTCCTCCTCCTTCTCCTCTTTGGTTTTAGCAACTCTTCAACGACGTGAGAAGTTGGGATTCTAGTTGAGGTGCGAGGGCAGACGGGGAGACTGTTTTTCTAACCAGTTTCCAATGCTTCACAGTCTAGATATCATACGCGATCCCTTATCTAGCTTGGAGGTGTTTCGTTAGATATGAGAACAGTAGCAAGAGACTGCCAGAATCAGGCCACTGATTTATTTTTAGTGTGTGTGTTGACCACCTCTCAATCATTCCCGGCTGTCGCAATGCAAAAATTCGCATACATATTTCGTAAGTTTTGGAAGTCTGTACTTTGGCATGTGCTACTGAGCTCTGTTAACCGCACCAGCGAGAACCAGTGAAAACCTCTGAAGCAGAACAACTTTGGGTCTCAATAAAGGTTTTGTTGTTATTGCCTCGGCGAGTAGAATATTACAGCAGGGGCTGTTTCGGAATGACAGACTTGGCTCATTATGCACGCCCACTTGTTGGGGTGGCTAAAATCAGCCTACTCGTCATCTCCACTTCTGCGAGTAATAATGCAGCCACAGGATTTGGCTGCCTCTCGATTTTGGGTTAACGAGAAAGTGAGCTTCTCAAAGTCCGAGGAGAGCTTTAAACTTGATCGTTCAACCCAGTGGACCAGTTCCGGCACGAAGTCTTTAACTTATTCCACACACAGATACTCCACACATTTTCAGTGGACTTTCATCGCCAATCGCGATGTGTGATAGCTTGTATGTGAAACGGCATCAAGCCAACTCACAGGAGACAGGAATTGTAAGGGATGAGAAAATGCTTTGCGGAATGTTGTCAGCAAAGCATTTAATGTAGCATCTTCTGTGAAGGAAGCATATTTGCAGCAAGATGTGAAGCACGGGCATTCACTCATTGAAACTTGATTGAAACGTTCATATACTCAACATAGTTGGCTCGTCGCCATCGCAGGTGGGTTTCGATCCAAATAGAATACACAAAATCCGCTTCGAAATGGTGATGTGATGCATTACAGCATTTTTACATATCTCCAGGTCTGGAAGACAGCTTGTGAGTATGTAAAGGGCTTGAGAGTATGTTTCTAGGGGCGGGGGGCAGTCTTTATTCAAAAAAATGGAAGGGACAGCAGGCAGAAGGAGCACCAACGCATATGTCAGCAACTGCTTGCACGCTTGAATTGGTATTTACAAAGAAAAATAAGTTGTTGGCAGATGATTTAACTTCCAATGAATCCTTGGCCTCGGAAAGAGGTCTCAGCAATTCTACTAGTATACAAACAATCCAGCCGATCAATTCAGTTAGCGTCAAAATGAAGCCCTCCCCTTGTGCTCATCTACTTACTTTAGTTTATCCCAAGCGCCCTGATCTTCAGCAGCACTTGCAAAATTGCCGTGGGCTCCGACTTCCTGGTTCAACGCTTTAGAGTTGCCACAAGTATTGAGCTCCAGCCAGGCTCCAATTCTGTGAGATGGTGGATCGCCACTCTCCATCTTCAGACACTTTGACTTCCTCTTCAGAGCAAATGTAGTTTCCCAACGTTAATGTGTGTTTGTATGTGTGTATGTATTTTTCTTCTGCAAAGTTTTAAATGGTTCATTCCAACTAAATCCCAGTCAATTTTGAATGAATGGATCGGTTTCAAGTCATTGACATCGATGCAGCATTACAACCATCCTGACGGTTTCTGCAGTATTTCCAACCTTTTTTTCTTTTTTCCTGTGCTGTTTCGTATTTGTAATTGGGGCATGTATGATGTGAAGCTGCGAGAAGAAATGCCGGATGTTGCAAAGCGCAACCGAGGAGCTCGTGGTACAGGAGAGCGAGTCATGATTTCTCCAAAAAAAACCGTTCGTGACGCTCTCCTCCATTAGCGGGGTGGAAATTGTAAGCGTTGGCCAGATACTCCCCCCAAGTGAAGGGACGGTACACTGGTGGCCGCTCTGTGGTGATGAGCTCCGGAGGGGGTTCCACAGTTGCATTCAAAGGAGGATTCAAAAAACAGGCCAGCGAGAGGCGCTTGGACGTGCCGTTCACCACAGCTCTGTGAAGAACACTTTTATACCGAGTATTACTCAAGACCTGCAAGCAAGCAAACAATCCAGATGGGCTTGAATGTCAGCCATCACCCCAACAAAAACCATTTGAAGTCAATCTTCTCCAAAGAATGCTTCCATCCAACACTGAATGGTAGGGTAGGTTCAAAATGGGAGCGCTGGCATACCTGAAAGAGATCTCCAATGTTTACGACGAAGCAGTCGGGGCGAGGATTGACAGTGATCCACTCCTCGTCTATTTGTACTTGGAGTCCAGCAATCTCGTCTTGGTGGAGGATAGTGAGGAGATGAGGGTCGGTATGAGCGCGCAAGCCGATTGCAAGCTCAGGCTGGGGGCATGGAGGATACAGGTTGAATCGCATTGACATCATGCACTCGTTCTCCACGTAGTGATTGAACCGCGTCGGCTCCAAACCTAATCCTTCCGTGAGAAGTTCTACAAGATGCCTGCCTAGTTTCTCAATTTGTCCCATGTACTTTTCCACAGTCGAACTGCACACAACCAACCAAAGCATTTAACATCAAGTGACCCCAAGTGTCTAGCTTCTTTGACTAAATCATAGCGACCTCGCGAATGGATCAACAGAATTCAGGCAAGATTGGCACTCAGCAAGAAGATAAACCTGAATATAGTATAGTCGCTTTCGGTGAAGAGCTTCCGGGAGAATTCCCGGATATTAGATTTGGGATGCAGTTGCATGTGGAAGCTCTCAGCCCAGTGCATGACCGTTTGGTTCACCCAAGTGTTGGCTCCGTAGCCAAAAGAAGTGCCAGGCGGGCGATGGACACGCTCTTTGACTTCCAGAGGAAGCTCAAACATCTTGTGCGCCTCCGTCTCGCACCTGAGAATCAGGTTCTCACTCACGCCATGATTCACCACCTGGAAGAAGCCATATTTCTCACACGCCGCCACGATTTCTTCCACAAGAGAGGCTCGCACCGCAGGGTCGGAGGAGCTCAGGAGCGACATGTCCACGATGGGAATTACATGGGTGGACGCGAGCGGGGGGCTGCCCATCTCTAGCACAGGCCGCTGGCCTTCGGCTTCGACGAAAATGGGCGGTAATTGCTGTGTTTTGTGCACTAGCGCAGACAGCAAACTGGCGTTTCGCAACGTTGTGTTGGTGTTCGTCAGTACCGCGGACAGATCTGCTGCATTGTGCGCATGGGACGGCACGGGGTGCGCGGCCATCTATGGCTCCGTTACTTCCCCCCCTATTGTCGATCTCCCAACCTGATTCCCTATTCCGCTAATCTCACAACCACAACCTGCAACCGAATAATTAACAAGCCACAAGTTCTTAATTGCCTCGCCACGTCCGTGATCACTCTTATAGCATCGACAATACGACTCGCTTCTAACTTCACCTGAGACTTCCTTCTCCACATTTACTTTGTGTAGCAGAGCAGAGACGGTGAAGAAACACCCGGGACTCTGAAAGTTTTGAGCCAAACGTCGTGATAATCAACCACAAAAGTGAGGGCAGCCCCGGAGACGGCCGAGCAAGTCATACACTGCCAGTGCATCGCATCATCACTTATCCTAACCAAATGGAATTCACGCTAATCACATCACCACCCTATCTAACCCTCTCCACGACCACAACAACAACAACTGTGAATGATATCCAAACCACGTACGCGTCTTCGAGAACGAAAACTGGACGTTGTCTGAGGCAACAGCTTCAACTAGAAACACGGGCCAAGTTATCGACAAGCCATACCGGCCAGGTCAAGCCGACCAAGACTCATTCCCTCGCTACCAGACCAGACCACAAAACAATGAGATCTTGTTGCCGAGCTTTCTATCTCTCGACCCCGCCCCACCTCTTGCACAGATGACCTAGCTCAACGACGAAATTAGACAACCATTCACTGCACGTCTCTATCCTCCCAAATCCGAATCCTCGAAGACAATCTTACAGGAGTTCCACGCGAGAATCCTAGATGGGAAACCTGGAAACACTCGTGAAGGTGCATGAGCTGCTGCTGCCTACAATACAAAAGCCTTCTTCCAGTTTTGGAGACTGCAAAGACTGGAAAATTCCAGAGGCTTTATGTAGATTCCTCGCATGTTAAATTCGCAGTGAAAAAAACACATAATTTATAAAAACTCGGAGGGGTAATGACGGGTGCCCCTTTGGCTGTGGCACTACCCCCCCCCCCCCCCCACGACTTGTTCACCGTCATGCAGCTCCTTCCGATTGCTCGCTTCGCCGGACTGTCTCGCGCGGAACTGACTCGCCCGATCAGTCCACAGCGTGCCGCTGAACTAGCTCCATCACTTGCAACTTCGCTACTTCAAGCCCCTTGTTTCGTGACGTTCGGGATGTGTTCATTGGGATGTGGGCATTACCTTGCAAGTTAGGATTCTATATTTATTCTCTTCCAAGCGCATCGTGGGGGCAGTTCAGCCGCCATGAAACCTTTCTACACTCACTCTCTCCGGTCGCAGCGGGCTTCAGCGTCTAGATTAGCGGGCAAGGCCCGCTGCCCCCAATCCTCCCACTGGATTGTCCTGGTCTCACTCTCTCGCTCTCTCCCTCTCTCCCACTGAGATGATTGTTTGCAATTCACCCTGTTATCTATCACGCAGTAATTCCTCTTCTTCCGGTGTAAAGTCGCGAGCGCCAACAGTTACAGTTCTACTGTACCCCGAGCATCCTTTGTTTTTTTTCTTTTCCTTTTCTGATAACTACACAACGCTTGTTGCTGAATAGCCACCAATCCATGAGAAGTTCGATATTCCCCCACTGCAAAAATATAGCATTGCGGATGGAATCGAGCTCCCGAGGCGGCTAGTTTCGATTCGAGAGTGTGCTTTTCATTGATTGACTTCCACCAGAGAATCTTCTCACCAACTTCGAATATCAATGAGAATGACTGATCATTCATGCAACACCGGCTGAGAACATGGAGCTTGAAATTTTTAGTTTTAATAATTTGTTAAACACGTCCCCATTTCTACTCCTGCTGTGAAGTTCCTTCGAGATGCGAAGAGCAGAATATTTTCAAAGTATTCTCCTGTAAAACGCTGGCTCCATCTCCATCTGTGCTGAGACTATCTTTAAGTTTATTTATTTATTTATACCCACAAACACACAGAAACACAAATACTTGTTACATTATTGTTGTCGTTGTTGGCAGAATTCGGTGCGCTGGCAAATTCGATTTCAGTGTGCACCTGCGCGAAACATGATTGACTGTCCAGTTCAGTCAAAAAAAAATCTAACCCCGTTTCTAATTTCGTTTATCAGCTAATTTCAGTTTGTGCGGAATGGACATCATGCTAAAGATGTTTTGCTTCAAAAAATATATATAAAAACTGCAGCGTATTACATCTAGTTTTTGAAAAACACTTTTCTGAGGGACTCGTGCTAAATATGTACCTTGGTTTCACAAGCCCCCTTTCCTTCCTGGAAAACATGTGTTTCTGCAGTCCTCAATGAATAAGTGTGAAGTGGTCTGTTGAACTGACAACAAGTTAATTGGAAGCTGTTACACATTCAAGCTGTGAATGGGCACTTTCTTTTGCAACCCTGCCAGCAAAGCCTCCCAGTAGGTTTCTTCAATTTCAAGGCAGTGTGGGTTTGGGGTTTACCACAAGATTTCTAAATTTAGTTTTAGGGTTTGGGACAAGCTTGTCGAAGATTGAATGGCCATTCTCAAGGTGGCAAAGAGCTCCTATTTAGTGTATACCTAAAAGGTGTAAGTTCTTCAAAGGTTTTGTGTAACTTAGATCACACAATGCTGAGTTTGTGAAGATGGTGCTGAGCTAGTTTGCTTTAAGGTTCTTCATGCTTTTTTCTTTTTCTTTTTCTTTTTAATGAGTCAACAATATTTTTTTATTCTTCATTTTTATAATGCATGCTTTGTCCCACACAAGGCTGCTTGAGATGATAAGATTGTCTGATGGTTTTTTTGGGAGGAGGTTAGGCTGAGCTTATCTTTCAGAATCAAGGCTGCTGATAATCATCCGAGAATGATTCCAGTTCACCCATTGATCCATATTCATCAACTAATTTTCATGTTTCTATTCTCCATTTTATTATTATTATTATTATTATTATTTATAACCTTGCTCAACAACATATTTTATAATATTGCAAATAATTAATAGAAATAGATTTATTGCAGGGAAATAACAACACTGGAACTTGAGCAGAAGGTTCTTAAATGTTGCACTGGGTTTTAACAACCATCTCAGGAGTTATTTATTATTTATTTATTTATTTATTTATTTATTATTTTATGTATCATGAATTAGTTTAGTTTTTGACAACAAAAAGGTTTGACAAATAGTGGAAGAATATGGATAGATTGGTGAACAAGAATCATTCTGGAAAGTTTCTTATTTTTTTTCTTTTCTTTTAATATCAACCCAAATGTTTGATCAAAGCACATGTTGTGTGCATCGTCATCTTGTCTGGTTATCACCCATCATTTGCATAAAACACTCTTAAGTTTGTGTGCCCATTGTCTCCCATGCCAAAGCCTAGAAAACACACACTAACAAACAAACAAACAAACAAAAAAAATCAACCTCACAGACATCTCTATCTGTAGCACACAAAAAAATGGCAACATCTTCTTTCATAAGCTTTTTGTTTTTGTGTTTTTATTCCAGATAGTGCGATTGTTTCATAAAAACCATATGTCCAAATAGAATTTTTGAGTGAACCCACAACCATGTTTACGTGGCACAGAGGGCTACTCCAAGCTAGCAACTATCTCATTGGGATTAGGAGAATTCCCCTTCATAAGCAGCAAGTTGATCCAGATATACATTATCTTCCACCTTTCCTGTTCTTAGCAGCTTCTTGGCACTTCCATCATAAAATCCATTCATTGTTGATTTCAAACCAAAAGAGCAAAAGCAAAAATAATAACAAAAATAAATTGTATGTTTGTATATATATATATATATATGTATTAGGGTTGTCATGGAAGCATCCAGTAACTCGTGGTTTGTGATAAGAAACAAGATATATTCATTGAGATAAGATAAAATAATTCAAAACTATTTTCACAATGAGAATCTTTTCCGGAGTGAGGATATTCTCACTGTAATTTTTGTGGAGGGGGGGATAAGAGCAGTCACTGATTGAGAGAGTGGAGAGAATATACTGAGGCAACAAGCTGTTGTAATTAATATATATATAAATGAATGTTTTGTTTTTATTTATTTTTATAATGTGTTCGCCATGATAGAATTGGAGCTAGTATTGCTGTCGCATGCTGCTACAGCATCGCCACAATCCAGGGCAACCGAAATCTGAATCTTCCGAAGTGGATTTTCCTTTCCAAGGCTACGTAGCATTGTCTCACTATGTTTAGAGAGCTATGGAGCTGCTTGTTGAGGGCCCACTGAAATTAAAAAGGCTGAAATGGCGGCTCGGTAGAGGACAATTCCAGAAGCTTCCTCCCCCCACAAGGTCCCTTTGAGGATGGTTGTGTTCATTAATAAATACTCTTTTTTTGTGGAAGCAAAGAGAATGGAATTTACCTGAATGTCGGAAGTTGAAAGGATAAAAAGCAAAGGGAATAAGCAAATGATTCCTTGTGGGTCAAATTTTGATTCTTACATTTTTCAACTGGAGTACAAACACTGAAATGTGTATGGATGTTTCTTTACTTCAAAATCCTTCATGATTGCACACATGGACACTAGAATTTAACTTTGTTACTCTAAATTTTAACATAATTTCACTGATGTTTTGAACGATTTTTCATCAAAGGAAGTGATGGGAAATTGTACTTTTCTGGCTTTTGTAAAAACGTTGAATTCTGTGACAAGAAGAGTTTTGCATGTGTCCTAGAGTTTTCTCTATAAAAATATCTGAATTATGTCATTTTTTTTGGTTGGTGGAAATATATATATATATATATATATATAATGACACCAATTGTTCTTACTTCTATTGACCATTTTACTTTGGGAGATGGATCCACAAACAGAGTAGAACATTGGGCATAACAGTTGATTAACTTGGATCACTTTCATCCTTTACATGAATACTTTTGCTGGCATACTGGAACTTTCTAATTCCATTGCAAGCCCTTCTCTCAATGTATTCTAAAGTTACATAACATTATCCTCACATTAAATCTTTGTACCCAACTCAGCAAATTTATCAGCTCTCATCGTAGTAGTGGTACAATTTGGTATTATGGGTACATTGCCCCCCCCCCTTTTTTTTTTTTTTTTTTTTTTTTTTTTTTTTGTCTCTAGTTGAAACGTGGCCATAGGTCCCTTAACAAAGGTGTGCTAAGTGGACAATTTGGCCATGAGCGGACAATAGAAATGTAAATACGGACCCCTTGTTCATGAAGGGCAGAAAACTTCCAACAAGCTCACTTTAATGAAACACTGACCAGCAAAGGAGTCTAGATAATATTCTCACGTGGAATTATTATACAATTAAAAACACTGACTTGTTGTTTCAACTCTTAAATGAGGACCAGAGCTCAATTGTATTTTATAGTATGTGAGAGTTTTTAGAATGCTGCTATTATCTACATGTTTGAAGAATGTTTTTAAACTTCCAACTGGTAATAAAGTTCTTCGGGTTGTGGTTCTATCCTAGTTGAAGTGTTTGGGTGTGTAATTGAAATTCTAATTGTAGTGTTACATATGAAATTGATCGGAGCATGTTGATCTCATAACCATACATTGATTACCAACTTCACAGCAGTTGATATTTTATATCGTTGTTTTGGGTAAATGCTTTTATGGAAGTAGAGAATTTTATGTTCTAACCTCAAGTCATTTTCATTTGCACAATGATTGTGTCTTTTAGAAATGTTGGTTTTGACTGTGTGTGCAAATTTTAAAAGTGTACAAATTATTTTGTTGTTGTTGTTGTTGTTGTTGTTTTTTTTTTTTTTGAAAATTGTCAATAATATGTAAAAATAAATATAACAATAACTTTTGAATTGATTAGAGAATTAAATGGTCCAATATAAATCATTCAAATGATTATGATTGAAGAGACTAAATTTTTTCATATGATTGATTTTGTTTATAAACATTTCACAATCCAGGATCCATTAAAGTGAAGTAAGTATTCACTATGTTGGATCTCAAAGATGATTCCTGATTACAGAATTTGTTTATATCCATTAATTTATCAATGAAATGTTGAAGACATTGGATCACGATTTATGTATGTTACAAGATAATGTTTTTATATTAATATTGAAGAATGAAATAAAATAAAATCAAATACTCTTAGTAATGTTATAATTTATTTAAATGTAGACTTGAAAGCAATGCAGCTATAATCCTGGAACAAAAAATAAATGATAAAAAATAAATCTTGATGGAACCAACTTAAATCACGTTCTTTTTCATTTTTTTCATAATGGT